GGCTGTTGACCCATCGCGTGGGCATCGCCCACGTTCGCTTTGATTACTTCCTTGAAAGGTTTATCAATGCCCTGCAAAGAGAAATAAGCTTAAATCCTAATGCAATCCACGTGCTTATTTTTTAAACATTTCCAAACTTTTCAGCGACACTAAAAAAAAATGCATGTAATTTTACATGGAAATTATATGTTTATGACCAGAAAATTACTTAAATTACATAAATATGATTGGAAATTTACTGGAAATTGTAAATTTCTAATCATATTTAAGTAATTTTTCGGTCATAGACATGTAATTTCTATGTAAAATTATATGCATTTTTTTCGTACACAAATCAAAATTTTGTTGAAACAAGGTTTATTTGAAATCAAGCAAAAAGTAAAATTTTATTATTTATTCGAATTCTTGAGACTTATAGTTCACAGAAATGCGCGATATTCTTTTAATTGCTTATAATCCAAATAACGTATTTCAAGTTCTACAAAAATACCGAAATCTTAAGATATTATTTTTTTATGTATTAACTTAGTGAAAAATTTTTTTATAATTTTTTACATAATTGTTCATAGAATTTTTTATAGAATTTGTATTTAAATTGTAGAATCTTTGAAATTTCTGTATAATTTAATTAAATATGAAAAATCCTATTCTTTATATGTCATTTTATATATTATATGTCAATTCTGAAAATTTTTTTTATTCTTGAAACTCTTAAAACGTTTGCAAAATTGAATATATACTTAACATGAATTCACATCGAAATATTAAAGTATTGAGATCTGATCGAAAATATGATTTTTCTTATTTAATAATAGATTTATTTTCATTGATCCAATTTCAAATAATAGTAATTTTATAAATTTTTAATAAATTTTTCAGCATTTTTGTATAAGTTGGAGCTTTTTTAAATTCTTCATATATATGTGAATTCTGCAATAATTGAAAAATTTTTTAATTTGCTCTAATTTTTCTGTAGATAATTTTTCTGTAAATATATAAGAGATTTTTTAATTTTTAATTTTTTAGAGCTTTTTAATTACACTGATCTGTATTTAATCATAAATAAATTTGAACAGGCCAGCAAAGTTAAAAAAACTTTTTTTTTCAGAAAGCTTCATCAGTTTAAATATGACAAATTTTTTAAAAATATAAGAATTAAATTTAAAAATATGAGTTAAATTTTTGTATCAAAAAATTAAGTAATTAAGTAATTAAGTAAATAATTTTCGAGTAAAAAATATCACATATTTTTATACTCGAAACTACCTTTATCAGAGGAAATAATGTCTTTCTGATAAACTGGGTAAACTTCGCACCGTAAAACTACGTCATCGACGAGCATTATGCAATTACGTGTCAAGCGAATAGAAACGTGAGAATATAGGCATAATAATATTATTTAGCGCGTAACTTCACTGATGAACGCATTTCTTTTTTTCCAACAAATCGGTCGTTTACATTTGTACTCGATACTCTTATATTTAAAAATTTTAAATGTATTTGGTGCATTAAAAAGAAATGCATAAGAGAATGCGCAAAAGCAGATTCGAGACTCTAAGCACCTTGAAATCAACGCACTGGAACAGTGCGATCTAAGCAGACATCTCTAGAGAAATATGTTTAATCAGGTACACTTTGTATAACCATAAACGATATAAAACAATTCCGGAAAAATATCATTTACAAGGAAACATTATTTAGGGAGATAATGGTACACATATATTTAATTTTCTCGTCCTTGACACTCTCAATTTTAAATCAAGTTTTTTTTTTAAATCAATCTCTGCATTTTCATATAGTGTATACGTTTCCATTAGTAATAACTTTCTCGGATTTAATAATGTGATAAGAGGCTACCATATAGTCTGGTCAGTAGATCACCGAAATAAAAATAAGAGTTACTTGTTCAAGGCTGCTAGAGATAATTGCGTTACATTCTCACGCTGCAGGCGATATAAGGCTACTTGCCGATTACATGATTGAATGCGAATAAAATGCGTCAACTATAATTATGTGTACTACAAAATACTTCGCGTTATCAATACGCATTATCGTACGTTAATCTTTTCTTTTAGATAATAATACACAATTGCACGCGATATGTTTGAATTCCCATTTTACTTGTAGAAGAAATAATTTAGTTAAATATTTATTAAATAACTTGAGTAAAAATATTATGTATTAATTAATTTTGATATTCTACATTGCATTCATTTACATTTTATTATTTGCAGAGCAGATAATTTAATATTTATATGTTAATATTATTTAGATATTCCATATATCGCGCTTATTTGTTATTATCTGCAGGAGAGTTAATTTAAATAAATATTTACGTGTAAATATTACTAATGTAATTTAGATGTTCCACGTGCGCTCATCTATTTTATGATTTGCAGAACAGATATATATAAAGTTTAGATAAAAATTTATATTCTAATATAGTATAGAGAGATCTCTGTGTGTGTCATCAATATTTTAATACTTAAAATAAATTAGATGAATGCTTGGACATAAATAATTTAAATATTGTTCCATTGTTTCTTATTTACTTGCTATACAGGATGTCTCACAATTACTGTATAATATTTGTGTGTGAATAGCATATTCTGGAGATAAAGTAAAATATTCTAATACGAAAATGTACAAAAGTTTTGAATTATAATCGATAAAAGAAACGCGTAAAATTCGCGCTTAATTAAGAACCATAGTTATATAAACACGCTCATCGATCTGTTATTAATAACACGTGTCAGTGTAACAATGAATCCCAGCGTGGAATTCGTGATATTCTGGATATATCTGATCAGTTATAATTCAGAAACTATTCGACTTGTTTACACTTTTTACACTCAGCATCTTCGCTTTCTCTCTTTTCAGCGTTAAATATATATCTCTCATTTTAAGAGGAAAAAAGTGTAAGCAAGAACAGACCAATTGCGATCTGGACATTTTCGTATTAGGATCTTTTATTCTATTGATAATGACCTGTTTAAAAATCGAAATTCTGTTTATTGTTTAAATTGTACTGCGTTTAAAATTTACTTTGCTTTCATGATGTGCCATTAAAGTATTGTACAGTAATTGTGAGACACCCTGTATATTATGTTCCTCTAATTTTTAAACTTGTTGTTCTTCTAATGTGCTAATTTACAACTGATTTTTTAAATAGATAAGGTCAGCGTCTAAATCCATATGTTTAACAAAATGTAAATTACGCGGAATATTTTTCCACAGTTGCGCGCGCATTTAAAAGCGATGGGTATAAAACTGAGGCCTCCAATATACTCTCCAATTTTAACGTTGCTTTTCCTATTAGTCACATTTTTGCTTAATGTCAAGAATATCCTATTGAAGCGATATCTCGTGATATATTGAGTCAGAGAAAAAATCTCTTCATATTTTTTAATTCAAAATTGTATATACAATATCTTCGTCAAAAATGAACGAAATTTAAATTTAAAAAAAAGGTTTTAAAGCTCTTGAAATCTCTACTTTCGAAAGGTTACTATAGTTTCTGAGTTTCTGTGAGTTTGGTAATTTTTACATTTAAAAAACTACTACTTGAAAAAGATGAAAAATTTTCTTTTCACTTTGTCTCTCACGTGCTCAAAAAAAATTTACGAAAATGTTCGACTATCTATCGTGAAAGCTTGAAGTTTTCCTACAAAATCATTTTTTTAAAAAATCCTATAATTTTTTGTTTCTGAGTTATTAGTGAGTTAAAGGAGCATTCTGACTTTGATTGCTCATAACTCTGATAAAAATTATCATATCATAATTTAAAAAATAGATTCTTAAAGCTAAAACTTTGCTCTAGCGAATGATATAATTAACGAAAATTTCACAACGAATGAAAAACTTTTGCAAAAAATTTTTTTTGAAACAAAGAAACTTTTTTTCTCACTATATTCAATATATTTTTATATTTTGACAAAGAAACTTTTTTTCCCACTATATTCAATATATTTTTCACAGTTCCTTTTTTCGTATAATCTAGATATTCTGCTTATCTTATCTCTTGTGTGCGGAGAATAAAGTGCAATCTTGACGTAAAGCGCATTCATCGTTAGTTATTCGCACTTTACCATTAGAGCCTCAATTAGCGATTATTTCCCCCTCCTCTCCTCCTCGTCCTTCGTTTTCGATACTTGGCGTTTCACCATGACAACCTCGCATTCTATCACGGAGCCCATCCCTCTTCCATCCCTCTCGTCCTCCTTTCGTTCGCGCTTGTTCAGTTTACATTCGATGTAACTGCTACTCTCATACAACTGTATCGCTACTATATATGGTTCCTTTTTTTTGGAGGCTCGTATTCGGAGGGGATTCTATTTCGCTTAGAGTGGCAAGTCGTCGTCCTTGACGGGTCGTTCGCTCCGGTTTATTAACTCCAATTATTTTATACATTGTTGCTGCCGTTTTGTGAACGCCAATTCGATTCAACAGCTCTTTTGCATCACCTTATCGTCGTTTCTGCCAAATTTGTTGCAGACGCTTGGCAAGATACACTGCAGCTTTTCTCAAATTTGGCCGACTGGGCTAATTTGTCCCTTACCTTTTGCAACTCCTTCTCGATCTCCAGCGCCCTGATGAGCAGCGGCCCGCGCACCGC